CAGCAGCTCTGGAAGTGCTGCCTGGGACAGGAGGTCTGGGGAAAGCTTTTACCCTGTTTGTACCCATATATTTGCTCAGCTGAGATCCATTTTTGGAAAATGTTCTGCTTGGGATTTTTCCCGGCAGCTGTTAGGTGGATAAAACAGGTGGATTATCATTCCTCAACTTTAGAAGACAGTTACTGCACTGGAGGAAAGATGGAAGACCAGTTTCTCCGCCTCTTTGCCTGCCCATGATTTTCCAGAATTAATCATGTTACAAACACTAGTTCCTTAATGCACAAGGATGCCTGTGTCATGAGCAGCTCATCTCTGCAGGCACAAAGTGCCAGGCAGCCCCTGACTGGCTCTTCAGCAAAGACTACTTAGGATGCCAGCCAAACTTCCAGTCTTTTTTGGGGAGGTGTTTTGTAATAACTCAGGACAGTCTCCACCATTTAAGTCACTAATTTTTTACCTTGCCTCTTTAAAATGACTCTTGTCTCCTTTTGAAAACGCTCCCCTTTCCCCCGTGCAGGGAGTTTTATCTCCTGTAGCCTTGTAGCACCCTGAATCTACGCTGTGCTTCCCCTGCCTGGGGATTTTTTATTTTTTTATTACTATTAAAGTTGGCAGTAAGCTTTCGCAAACTTGGAAAATCCTGCCTGACAACTTGTCTCCTTCTCTAGAGCTGGTTTACTCTTATCCACTGATCTTGGAGCAGTCCCTTTGCAGAGCCCTGCTGGCAAAAAGCCATTTCTTTTTTGCTTTGATGAAGCTGGACATTTTCCCATGACCCTGCAGTAAGACAGTGCTGGTAGAGAGGTCACGACTGCCAGCCGGAAACATAAAATAAATCAGATACAAGCCTGCTCAGAACACTCACCTGTAAAATACTCTCCAAACTCTTGCTCGAGTTTCATGGCTTTGTCAAAGACCTTGTTGGCCTGTTCATACGTCTGTCTCCGGTTCATCTCCCTGCCGTGTACAAAAAGTAGAAACTTAGCTCCTTTTCTTAGCAATGAACAGAAGCAAAAACAGCCCACAGAGCCGGGGTGCCTGGGAAGCCTTTGCACACCAGGAATGGAAGCTGTGCAGGACCCAGCTCTCAAAGGTAGGACCCTTTGCTGCCCTGGCACTTCATCTCAACTTCCAACAGTTCTTCCCATCGCCACCCCCTGCCCCTTTCACCATAGCACAGAAGTAGACTCAAATCCAGACAATCCTCCGAATTTCCAAGACCACTGCAGAAGTCTCCCTCCTTTTCCAGAGCCTGTCAACACCCTCCTTGCCTAGGTTCCCTCATCTTCACACAACACCCAAATAAGCAATTCGACCCTTTCTGGCTTGAGAAGGGGTTTTCCCAGTCCCCGTGGTGCCAGCAGAGTCTCTTCTGATCTCAGAGTCCATCTCTAGCTACTGGATCTCCTCACAGATAATATTCTCTGCTGCTTCTCGGAAGAGTTGCAAGCTCAGCTCTTACGTCCTTTCCAGCCTGCACTCTCCAGGGCCAGGAGCAGCAGGACAAGCAGAAGGTCCCCCTTAGGCTCACAGGAAATGTCTCCCCTCTGCTCCCCGGGGCTGTCCTGGCTCAGCCACCATCCAGCTGTGATCCACCACTACGGGCTGTCGGCAGCTCTCCTGGCTGGACTTGGGGCCCAGGTGAGCAGGTTACATCAGGCACATTTGGGAGAGTTTTTAGATTTCCCATGGATAATCCTCTTTGGGCCAAACGAAGGGCTTTAAGCCGGAGCAATCCATGGTACCTAGATGCACCATGGCATTAGATGTGGAGGGACACCACAGAGACAGCAATGGGCCCAGCTCCTCTTAACAAGGGAGAAGTTCAGCACCAGTAGCAACTTCTGCTGCTTTCTAAAAAGCAGAGGCAGCAGATATAGAAACCCCCGACATGCCAGAGTTGCTCACCCTGGAGAGGCACAGAACATGGTGTTACACTTACATGAGAGCTTCGATGGATTTTGGTTTGATGAAAATGGCAATGGGATAAAGTTGTGCTTGTTGCAACCTCTTGATAGCATTGCCAGACACATCCAGGATGCAGTGTTTCCCCTGGAAAGGAGACGATCGGGATCAGACCTACCCACACAGTCCGCTCTGTGCGGAAAACAGCCTGTTCGTACAGATGTGCTTACAGAAGAGAGGAGCCATAGAGATGAAACACCAGTCCTGAGACACAAGCCAACTCCCAGTGGCCTTACGTTCCTGCCTGCTTAGGGCAGGACAGCAGCACAGCAAAGGGACCGAATCTTTCTCTGAACTTGTGAAACAATTTACAAGCCATTGGTACACTCCAGTACTCCTGCGGAGGAAATGCCGCTGCTTCAAGGAGGTCAGCTGGGCACCTTTGCCCTAAGAGCTCCCAGGCACGAGGCTGGTGACGCCAGTGCCGGGCTTTTGGGTGGAGTTTGGATGACAGAGGTACAACACCGAGGTGGAATAATGCGGCTGAGAAAAGCAGCCACACGGCTTGCCAGGACTCCGGAGGGAGGAGAGGCTCGTGCCATGCTTGCTTAATGTGGTTACAGCCCTTTGTTAACAACACGGGCAGACGATGGGAACTGCCAAACACACCTGGGTTCGGGCTGGATGCGTCCTGGTCCCAGGAACACCACCTGACACTCACCCTCTCCGCTACTGCTCGCACTGACTGAATGCTGGTCCCATAGAGATTGTCATTGAACTGCCCAGCCTCTATGAACTTGTTGTCCTGGATGTCTTTCTCCATCTGTTCACGGGATACGACGAAGTGGTAGTCTTGTCCGTCCACCTCGTTCTCGCGCCGAGGCCTGGTAGTGTCTGGAGGAGAGCAGGCATCATGAGTGAACCCAGAGTGATGCATGCCAAACCTCCCGAGAGGGAGAAAACCCACCCATGCTCCTGGGCCCCCTCCCCACACTGCGGGCTAGACCCTGTAAGTAGCAGAGCCACCCCTCTCCCCTTCCTCCAGCAAGAGCACCGAGTGCCAGCTGGGACTTACGTGGCACACAGGAACCAAACTTGTGTGGGAATTCGGAGATGAGGTCATCATTAATTCGGTCCTTTGTTGGGCCCAGGATGATCACCGGCCTCGCATAGTGAACTGCGAACAAGAGCCACAACCTGAGGACCTGTCTGTGCTGCGGGCAGCTGACCCTGTTGCCACTTTTGACATCAACCTGCCCTCTCCCTGCTGGCAGTGGGTGCTACTGCTCATATGGGCACCCAGAAGTGCCTCCTCCATGTGAGTTTATCTCCTCCTGGTCACTGTCAACATCTCCTTCCCATCTCACCCAAACCATCTGCACAGCCCCGGGAAAGATGCTGCGGGTCTCTGGGGTCACGGATCAGCAAAGCTGCTCCCTCGCTCAGGGTAGGAGCCAGACAACTGGGACAGCTGGGCGAGGATGCCACGGAGCTGGGGGAGTGATGGGAGCCTAAGAGTCTGAACCAGCTTCTGGCAAGGAGAGACCACCGAGACTGGGACTATTCAGCCTGCGAAAGGGTCTGTAGGGATTGAGCATCGAGCAGGACTAAACACTGAGGGCTGGGGGTTGCTTTGCAGCAGGGACCTGGCCCAAGGCAGGGACGGATAACCCTGTCCTCAGCTGGGGACTAAAGCGCAGCTCAGTTTTAGCTCTGGATCTCTCCCTTGGTCTTGCAGATCAGGTCACAAGTCTTTTCCGTTGATTAAAAAGGGGCGATCAAGGTCAGGGAAAGCCCTGCAAGGCAGCATGCACACCTGGCTCCCCTGCTGCACCCAACAGACAAGAAACTCCACTCGTGTTCACCTGGCGTTGTGCTGGTACATCAGAGGAGGGGAGGAGGTTGCACCAGTCACCCTGGCTGTGCCGGGGACACAGGTGCCCACGCTAGAGCAGGCACGGGGCAGCTCAGCGCCAGGACTTACTTTCTTGCCGCGTCACTGGCTCGTATGACAGGATGGTGTCCTCTTGTCCTTCTGCAACAGAGCCAGGGAGAGGCAGGTGAGTGCTCACAGCAGCTTTCCAGCCCCTCCACACCCGCGGGGAGCTGGCTCCTGCCCCCACCAGCCTCCCGCAGCCCTGGGGACACCTCCAGGCTGCCCCCGGCACGCCACCAGCTGATATGGAGCGTGACA